TTTTCCTTATATATATATATATATATATATATATAATATTTTTAATAATTAGGTCATATCCGAATCGAATCTACTTGTACCCAAATCCGATCCGAATATTATTTAGATCCAAAATTTGGATCTAGATCCAATCCGTCATATCCAAATTTTGAATCTATTCTCGGATCCGAATAAGGTATGAAATTCGTATTTCATAGCGAAACCCGGTAAATTCTTAGCCCTACAAGCTGTGATATATGTCCTGAGCACCAAAAACATTTTTCCTTGTCTATTTGTCATTGCTGTAAAATACACCTAGCAAAGTGGTGCGTCTTCATTTCTGTCGCGGTTGTTCTAGGTTTCCAACCCAGAAGAGTAAAATTCCTCCAAAATGAGTGGTTTATATATCTTGAATCGAGAACAAACAGGGGCATTTGTATCAATTGTCAAGGGACAAGTTTCTCTTGGCGCATAATACATAAACTGCTTTCATCTATCTTGGTTTCCAAATCCATAACGGGTGCTATAAAAAAAAAAAGAAAAAGAAAACAAATCATAAAACCACCAGGGTGATATGATTTTTCTAAAGTAACCACCTTAAAGTACTCTAGCCGACCTTTAATTGTAAAAAAACAAAAAAACAAAAAAAGGATGCTGAACCACCTTAAAGCACTACTCTCCCCCCTTTTGGTAGGGATGGCGGTTGAATCGACCTGAACTGAGTATGGGTTTAGGTCTAGGTCCATGTTTTGGATCCGAAGGGTTGGGTCTGGGTTTGGGTCAGACATATACCTCATTGGGTTGGGTTGGGTTGGGTTGGGTCGGGTTTTGGTCCGTGTCGGATCTGACCCGCATTAAAATATAAAAATTACATACTAAATAATACTTGGCTCCGGATCTTGGCCCAAGTAACTTGGAACCAACCCAGTATTGGGTCTTGGTGGAACCTAGTTAGGTCGATCCGCCCGATGCCACCGGACCCATTACCACCCTTACATCTTGGGCCGTATGATTTTCTCATTTTCCTTGAACTGAAATGTATAGCTATGTTTAAAGTATACCTTTTATATCTGAATGTCATTCATCATACTTACTCGAGGCAATTTGCAGGGAGTTTTTGTATCAGGTCTATCTTACTGGGTACAGCTGTGGTGCACGGAGAAGAAGGGCCCTGTGTACATCGCCTTCTTTTCGCCGTTGGCAATTCTTATAACTGCCATCATCTCCCCCTTCATATGTCCGGATCTCATCCATTGGGGAAGGTAATAATAACTCTCATATTATCATGCCAATCCTAATCTATTGGATGATTAAAAATGAGATATAACTTACACATCATGACAACATTAATTTGGATCATTACTCTCACCATCCAATATTAGCAAAACTTTTTAAGGCATAAATGGGCAACATGATAGTGGAGGACCAGTGGATTGTTCTCCCTGCCTAACAAACAACCAGTGGATTGTTTGGAACAACCTGTAAAATTTCTCACATTTATTTCTGCATTTATTTATTGGGGCTAAGCATCCTCCCCTCAAAACAATCCCAAAATAAATAAATAAAATAAAATAAAATAAATGGAGAGCCTATAGGGCAAATGTATATATGCCTTATTAGGAATAGACTTAAAGCATATGTAGTTAGAGTGGTCTGTACCACAACATGACGTCTTGATTTTTATACTTTCTACGGTAGGAGTTTCCTTCCCCACAATCTACTTTCTTTAAAAAAAGTATATACTTTATTTGGATGCCTTGCCGTTATTTGACAGGTGTGTTATTTTTTGGTCCTGGTCCAGCCATTCACATTTAAGAAAGTATAAGATTTAAGAGAGCTTTATTATGTTTATATGAAAATTTCCTAGGTTGCAAATAAAATAGCGAGAGTATTGAAACGTTTTTTGCTTCCAATGGCTTCAGATTGTCATTTGGCTGCATCGCTGTTGTGTTTTTCTTTTTAAAGACTTTTTTGGTTCTCTTTGGTAGTCATTAGTGGAATCACACTTGGTAGTCATTAGTGGAATCACACTTGAGATATAGCATCGCTAAACGTCAAGTGTTAACAACTCAAACCCCAGCCCGATGCCTAAAGAAATCATGTTCAAGAAAGTTATTAGAGACTGCTTTGAAAATAAGAAATTTTCTTCTTAAGTCCAAATCCATTCAAACAATTTTACTCCTAAAAAGTACCACAGATAGCAGGATGGGAGAAATTTACTAGCCAGGACGATGACAATGGGGGAGTTCTCACTATTTTGGTCAAATTACCAGAAATAGTCGTCAAGATGGCCTAATAAGCCAATTTGGTTCGAGGCTCGTCAATTTATAATATATTTTTTTCATTTAGGTGTCTTCTCAAAAATTTTGTTTAAAATCAGGCAAATTGCCCTCATAGAAGATTTGAAATCGTGTTATTTCAATAATTTGGCCCCACTCAAGTAACTCTAGTCTAATGGTGGCCTATTAGAGATGGGAGCCCATAATGAGGATTTTGAATGAAAAAAATGAGTTCTAGGTCCCTCACCGCGAAGTCGGGGTAGAACTGTAATTTTGCTTTTGCCACTTAATTTGAGTAAAATAATGACATTACCTTTCCATGTTAATGTTTAGGAGTTAAAAATAAGGGATTGTCTGCAAAGATATCATTTATTTTTGGTACATTCTTAAATTTCAAAATGGGTGGTTGTAAGAGTGTCATTAAATATACACAAAGTATCAAATTTTTTTTTTTCAAATTTCATGACTCACCCCAAGCCATCTAATTTGAAATCTAAAGAGTGAAAATGATTGTGACTTCTATATATATAAGATAAATGGTCTCTTTATAAACAATCCCAAGATCAAAGCCTTTCAAAGAAATAAGATGAGTTATATGTTTCTATCATGGATAAGGGGGTATAACCATTATTTTGCTAGACCCACTTAATTCAAGCAGAATGCCTGTATTGCCCCTCCATGTTCTGGGCTGGAGATCAAGCTTAAGCACTTCCATTGTAAAAGAGAAAAGGAACTTCAGTATTTTTGGGTGTGAAAATAACAAATTCAGTCCTCATTTGGCTCATCCCACTTTAGCCTTAGTCAAATGATGGAAATACACCTCCTTGTTCAGTTCTAAAAACAAAAAGTCTTTAATATGAAAAACAAGTTATTAATTTTTTACCCTGAATAAGCAATGGTAATTACATCATCCGAGTAAGCCACTCAAATCAAATAAAATTATTAAAATACCTTTATTTGTTCGGGGTTCTGTATTTGAACAACGACGAGAGGTATTTTAAATAAATTTTGTACGGATGTCCATCACTGAAATGAACCTGAATGACACCAAATTAGAATATAGGGTATTAATTTAAAGGAAATTAAGTAGTTTATTTTACATATTAAGCATCTTATTTGTCCAATTTGTGCAATTGCAGCGTTCTAGGAGGTCTTCTAATGGTAGGTGGGTTATACTTGATGCTCTGGGCAAAGAAGAAGGAGGAGAGGAGAGTAGAGTGTGAAAATAAGAAACACAGGTTAGATGAGGAAGCAAAAAAGGAGGAGTGGGGGGTTGACTGCGATAATGGAAAGCATGGGTTGGATGACAAAATGGGGTCCAACATAGAACTTGTTTAAGATATGCATTCTTTCTTTTTTGTGAATTTGAGTGGTGACATAATCAGTTTTAGTGTTGACGATGTACTATTGAAATGAAAATATTTGGCATGTTCAAAAGGCAAACTTCACTGTTCAAACTCTTGACACATAAAAGGGATCGAACCATCTGATAAAAAGTCATGAGAAGTCTTAGAAGAGTGCGGTTATAAAAATGAGAGAGAGAGAGAGAGTTTTAATATGAAAAAAGCCCATGGATTCTTATGGATCATTTGGGACCTAGTATATGCAAAACCTACTTATGCATCAAACACTAGGTTGTAGTATTTCTAAAATATAGTTTTAGGAACAATGTTGTTTGGGTAGCTTGCGGATGAACCTAGTGCATAACAAATCCTCTATTTGGCTCCTGTAAATGTAAACTAGGTTTTGGTAATTTATTATTAGACAATTTAGCCATCCATTTCATAATTTGATAATCACATATTAGTATTTCTCCAATTAAAATAATTTATTAAAAATTAGCTTGATGATATGAAAAACAAACTAGCCATTCGAATCTTATTTTGTAGAACATTTGATGGTAAAATATTTGAGACCCCCCTCTCCTCTCTCTCTCTAAAATGTTTTCGAACATATTGCTTATTTGAAACAAAATTATACATAATCTAATAAACAATTAATTATGAGTAACATGACTGACGAAATATATTCCCATCATAATATTTCATAATGGAAAAAGTTTATAAAGGTTGCAACATTAAAATGTAAAATTAAATATGCACCTAAAAAATCCATCCGAAAAAGTTGTTTTAAAGTTGAAAAACCTCCTAATTGATCATCTCGACTTTGAGATATATAAATATGAAAAAAAAACTTTTTTTTTGAGCAATACATTATCTAAACCGTCTATTTTCAAGATTTTCATATGTTTATAGATCTACTTGATTTTAATCATATTTGGAGTTTAAAATTTTATAATTAGATATGAAAATAGGTTTTGAGATAATTCTAAGAATGTTTTACACCAAAATTACATGTTATGATAAAATTTAGAGGTGCGCCTTAATTGGATTATTTAAGGTTATAACCTTATAGAAACCACACCCTACAAACACACGAGCGCGCGCACTCACACACACACACACACACACACACAGACACACATATATAAATAATTGAAAAAATCTTCCCAACGCCTATAGGCCAAAATGAACAGTAATTTTGCCCACCTTCATCACCATCCAAACTTCATCGCATGGTCCAAACTTCGTCTGGTAGTGTTTCAATTTTCATTTTTTTTTTAATTATCGGAATGATCTAAAATTTGGAACGTATGTACATCATAGTAAGACCCACCTAATAAAAATATGAAAAATATAATTTCTAAATATACATTGACCAAAATACCCTCATAAATTTTCAGAGGTATTTTGGTCAATTTATATTTATGAATTATTTTTTTCATATTTTTATTAGGTGTGCCTCACTAAGATGTATACATGCTCCAAATTTTAAGTAATTTAGATTTTTCAAAAAAATAAAATAAAAAATGAAACACTACTAGACAATTATGACCCTGCGATGAAGTTTTGATGGTGATGAGGGTAGACGAAATCATTCTTCATTTTCACCATAGGTGTTTTGTAGTATCTTCCCATAGGCCAAAATGAACAGTGATTTCTTCTACCCTCATCACCATGCAAACTTCATCGCACGATCATAGTTACCTGGTAGTATTTTCATTTTCATATTTTTTCTACAAATCCAAATTACTTAAAATTTGGAACGTATATACATTTTAGTGATACAAACCTAATAAAAATATGAAATAAATAATTCGTAAAATATAAATTGACTAAAATGCTTATAAAAATTTATAGGGTATTTTGGTCAATTTATATTTTACGAATTATATTTTTCATATTTTTTATTACATATCTTTCACTAAGATGTATACACACTCCAAATTTTAGATTATTACGATCAGTAAAAAAAAAATGAAAATAAAAACACTATCAGACAACTGTGACCATGCGATGAAGTTTGGATGGTGATGATGGTAGGTGAAATCACTGTTCATTTTTACCTATAGGCATTTTGTAGCATCTTATATATATATATATATATATATATATATATATATATACTCACGACGTACTACGTAAATACGTTACGGTACGTAACTACTACGTCGTACCTACTTACTTACTTAATTAATAGTAATAACTA